ATATTCAAAAATAAATTTTGTTTACAAGTCCGTTTACTTTTAAAAATGTTTCAGAAAAATACTGAAACGTTTTTAAAATTAAGTTTATTCAAAAAAAAATATATCCCAAAACTGAATCGTGACTTTTTACTTGTTACTTTTTGTTGTACGTTCTAAGTGTCAATCCTAGCAAACACAAATTTGGAAATAAAATCGATTACAATGTAATTTTATAGAAGGAAAAAGGGGGGTTAATGAACAAATTATTACTATACACTCACATACTTCTAAAAAGATTTGCATATGTAAGCTGTCTATAGATAATGTTAAATTATTTCAGGAGTTTCAATTAATTAAGGAGAAAAAAAATTATAAACAGTTTAGTTTTCAACGCCTACTACTACAAAAAATAGTGATTCTTTTTGTAGATTGGGTACTTCAGTTTCGACTCAAAATTTCCTATTGTAATTGTTAGATGGCATGCCAAATATTTAGAAGATTGTATTTGTACTTTATGTAATTGTGGTGATATTGGCGACGCGATTCATTATATTATAGCAAGGATTTGTAAAAATCCTTGATTATAGAATGTTCGGCAATAGACGAAAGTAGACAAACCCTATTTAAACGGGGTTTTGATCTCCAAGGACGCCACATTTTACATCGAATAAGATCTGTATTTGTTAACGTTTTCAAATGAAATAACTTGAATTAAAAATTTCCCGACTATGTGAAGATTTCTTATATTTCTAAATGGCTTCAATTATTACATGCAAAACGAAAAATTTATTTAACTTTTTTTGTAAAAACAATATTCATATATTTTTATAATTTTTCCAAGGAAACGTTTTTTTTTTTGTTTTTTTTTGCAAAGTTTACTTGTATGTGTTTATAACCATCACCAATCAGTCCTAATTATTAAAGATCAAACGTCGTAATCAAAATGATGATTGGTATTGAATATGATCATCGGTCAAGCATGACGTATCCCAAATAACTTCTTTAATGTTGGTTTGATTTTATCAAAACCAAAATTATAAGATCAAATATTAAATTATCTATCGAATGTTTACCCTCAACGCTCACTAAAACATATATACATGTCCTGAGTGACTTTTTATGTCCTGTCTGCACTCAGGAGGTCCTGAGCGGTTTTTAGACGTACCGTTAATTTATAGGCATATATTTGAAGCTGTTCTTAATTATGTACATTATCTATAGGTATACATGTATCAGACAAAAAGCCTTTCCAATGAACTTAGTTCTAGTTACCTTAGTTCCTAGTCACAGGCACTTGTCTCAGAAAAAAAATTTCCTATATACTTTTAATGTTATATTAAGCAGGGACTTTCTATACTAAGTTAGTACAGAAAGTCCCTGTATTAAGGTATATAGGAAACAAAATTCTGAGACAAGTGCCTGTGGTCCTAGTGTGAAATAAATCCACTGGGAATTGGCCTTTTTAAACACATCTATATATACGTTTTCTCAAGGGTTTGTACATGTAAAGTGAAATTATGTTTACTCAATGCGTAGTTACATAAGTTTATTTGCTACTTTTTTCTTCTTTATTTTATATAAATGATTTTTTTTTTTAATTTTAACATTTTTTTCTTCGAAAGAATTGTAGTGTTGCAATAGGGAATGGACACAGATACTTAACTACATTTAACGAAAAAAAAATTGTGTAATGTCATCAATCTGTAATACACATAGACAGGATGTTCTCTAGAAAACTATGATATTTCAAATACGTTATACACACCCCAGGGTACACGCACTGTCGTAATGGAAAATTACTGCATGCTTTAATTACCTGTAATCAGCCATGCAACAAATCAGTTGACTGACCATGTCATTACAGTTTTAAAAGTTTTTCCTCAGATCAAAACGGAATATTCATTTTAACTTTAAAATTTAAAACTTTAAAAAGTATACATTGATATAATTATAACGTAAAAGAATTTAACAATTTAATAATCGTATTTTTCCAAAGATTAAGATACAATTATATTTATTATTCTGGGACTGACATATATATCACAGGCATTTGTCTCAGAATTTTTTTCCTATATACTTTTATTAAAGTATATAGGATTTTGTTTCCTGAGACAAGTGCCTGTGAGATATATACATGCATAAGTCCCAGAGGCTTATTCTCATTTCGCCTTAGCTGTCAAAATCTTTATATAAAATTAATCCCATTTTGCCTTAGTACAAATTTTCAGGTAAAAAAGAATTAACTAAGGCGAAATGGGAACATGTGTAAACAATGTAAATAAGTTATTTTTTGTTTGTATTGCAATAAGTGGATATTTGTTATTTTATTGTCAAAATCTGCCATGAAATACTTTTTAAAAGAAGATGTTTTTTTTGGTGTCTTTCCGATTGCTTTTAATTCTTTTTATAGTAGCTCATCTTTTTATGAAATGTCATTTTTTTGTACTAGCTGCATAAAGAGATCATGGTTCGTCCGGCTTTCTCCTAAAGTTACATCATCATAACAAGGACAGTCTATACTAACTATATAATATAGAAAGTCTCTGATCATACAATACATACTTTTAAATTTATAATTTCCTATGGTCAGGCGGGGGCATCATTTGTGTCTTACAGACAGCGAAACAATTCCAAGTTATATGCCAACATCACTGTTTGTCAAATCTAAAATATGTGGAACTATACTCATGCATATATGGAAGAGCAGAAAGGGGGGGGGGGGGGCATTGTCCATATCTAGTTTTTACTTATGTGATATATTTTGTGAATAAAGTCTTTGTTCTTGTTTCTTATTAGAGATGACCAATAGGTTACAGAATATTTCATATTTTACTGAATAAAATAAAGAAAAATATCATACAATCATAACAAATATTTAATTTCTGATTCAGCACTGAATTACAAGCACAATTTTAAATTAGCATACTAATCAGAGCTATACATACTAATATTATCATATATAATTAGCACAATTTTAAAGATTTTTGTTTTTGATTTTTTTTATTAAAGTTTCTGTTATATATGTAAACAAGTCTGTGGGGAAACTTGTCTTTTTTTTTTGTTCTATTAAACTTTTTGTGTTGCATAATCTAAAGGATAATTGAATTATTTAGATTTTTCTAATTGCATAAAATTCATAAAATTGCAACTTTTATCAAATGAAACAAAAACTATTTCAAGAGAAGCAACATTCCTACTGACAAATCTTTTTATTGCAGATTTTTTTCTGATTTCACAACTTTTGAAATCATAGAAATATTCAATTTTATTAATTGAATATAAAAATAACAACTCAAGAGAAACAATTCAACCATTACATGTTGTTTAAATTGTTATAAAAACACAAAGGTTTAATTTGTTTATTTAAATTTTTTAACTAAATTCACATTTTGCCTTAGTTCAATTCCCATCTCGCCTTAGTATTTTTTTTACCTTTTTTACCTGGAATTCACAGCTAAGGCTAAATGGGAACACACCGTCCCAGACATATATAATTGTAAATCAAAATGATTTACATAATTACTGGGAAATAATATAATGTTTCAATGTTGATGTCACAAATACACATGAATTATTTGATGATGCATGCTGGAATTTCTTATCTAACTGCATGACGGTGACCACAGACATATATATATATCCATTTACTGATTCCAGAGACATATATATGTCTCTGCTGATTCTATAATTTCTTGAGAAAAAAAATCAGGAGGGAAGTCATTGGGAAGTGAAACAAACATTTTAAGCTTTTATTCAAAATTGTTGGGAAAACAATAAAATACGACACTGAGTTTTGAAAAAAAAAGTTTATGATTGGTCTTAATTTTTTTTTTTAATAAAGATAGAAACAATTTTTGGTCCCAAGAAAAAAAAACAATGCCCCCTTTTTAGCCAAACCGACACACGCCGATGAATGAAGAATTCCAAGTAGGGTCACAAGGTCACATTTTAAAACTTTTTCAGTCGCCCATTCTCAAAAAGCAATTTTGACTGACATTGTTTTTAGTCGAATTATGTTTTTTCAGGTCAGGTTGCAAAGTGGCAGGTCGGATTTGACAATGTCAAGTTGACAACGGTCCTAAAAAATATCTGAAAAAACGTTGAATCAAACGATATGAACCTACGCAGTTTTATATTATAAGACTGACACACACCAGTGTGCTAACTGTGCTGGGTGAGGTGCTGTAACTTGATATACATGTATCATTAAGTTACAATACTGTTAGGATTTGCCTGCCTTTTTACAGGGACTTTCTATACTAACTGTTAGTATAGACTGCCCCTGGCTTGAAAGTATGGTTCTCTGCTCATCAACGGGTGCGTGATTAGCAAATCAAATATCTTGTAGCAGTAAAATACCTCCGGGGGTGGGGGGCACTTCAATACTTAATTGATAGGGGTGTCGCTGGGGTTCTGTTACCCCACCCTATTCATATAATTTAGATCTTAAAAATGTATACCTTTTCATATATTGCGTGGGTAAAATTGTAACCTTTTCCCGTATTGGTTGGTTTTCGTGGGGTGTGTTGGAAAAGTGGAATATTTAAGGCTAAGATTCTGTATGTAATGTTTACTTACGGCGAGACTTTCGGCTGTGAAAAAATGACAGGGCTTTTCATATACAAGTAATTGGAACTTTATCGACCTTATCATATATTTCTGATAGTTTTCCCCACCTATTCCCATATTTTCAAGATGGAAAAAGTGACCTATTCCAGCGGCACTTCCTATATACAAGCCCCCCCCCCCCGAGTAAAATACACAAATGTATGTCATGTATAATACCTTAATTCAGGAGCACAGTCTGTCTTTACCGTAAATAACTTCGAGATTAATATGTAAGTTTACTTTGCTAATCGATGTTCCTGTAATTCATATTTAAATTTATTTGTGAGACCCCCGTCACTATTTATATTCACTCAAAGAAAGGGGTTCTCCGTTACTGGGAAAATCCAAGGACGTATTGTGTTAGTTATACGTCCTTGGAAAATCTTATCTGATTCAGGATCAATTCATCGGTTACACTCCCCTATCACCAGTGATTCTTTGTGAACTGACATTCTGAAAAAGGTATACTGTTGACTATCAATTTGCATGATTAGTTACAAATGTCGACTCGGACTACTGCAAAAGACAATAATTCAATTCACTGATTTAGATTGAATAGTGGTTCGGTTAATCCCCTCTTCCCCAAACAAGTAAGAATTGGGTTACATCTTTTTTGGTAGTCCAAATAATTATGATGTCTAGCAAGGCTTTTTTATTTTTTGTATGCCCCCGCCGTAGCGGTGGGGGCATTAAGTTTTACCCTTGTCCGTCTGTACGTACATACGTCCGTACGTCCCAAAATTGGTTTCCGTTCTCTAACTTGAGTTTGCCTCAACCAAATGTTTAAGTAAAAACTTATACACAATGCTTATTACCACAAAAAACAGATCAAGTTTGAATTTTGCTGGCGTCACTTTAACCGTTCTAGAGTTATTCCCCTTTATAAATGGAAATATTGCAAAATTTTTAGTTTCCGTTCTCTAACTTAAGTTTGCCTCAACCAAATGTAATAAAACTTATACACAATGCTTATTACCACAAAACACAGATCAAGTTTGAATTTTTGTGGAGTCACTTTAACTGTTCTAGAGTTATGCCCCTTTATAAATGGAAAAATTGCAAAATTTTTATTTTCTGCTAAATATCAAGTTATTTTTAAAATTGGAATTATCCTCCTTTGTCCATTATTATAGTTGAATCAACTACAATCAATGCTTTATACAATGCAATGTTTAATTTTGACTTCCACTGATAAAACACAGATCAAGTTGAATTTGGATAGTGTCACTTTAACCATTATTGATTTATGCCCCTTTATAAATTGAAAGATTGCAAATTTTTAGTTTCCATTCTGTAACTTAAGTTTGCCCCAACCAAACATTATGAAAGCTATACCCAATATTCATTACCACAAAACTAAGATCAAGTACAAATTTTTTGTTTCCGTTTTCTAACTTTAGGTTGCCTCAACCAAATGTTATGAAACTTATACACAATGCTTATTACTACATAATACAGATTAAGTACGAAATTTGGTGGCGACACTTTTACCATTCTTGAGTAATGTCCCTTTATAAACATAAAAATTGCTGAATTTTTCGTTTTTCTTTCTCTAACTTTAGTTTGTCTCAACCAAATGTTATAAAACTTATACACAACCATTCTAGAGTTATGCGTGTTTACAAATAGAAAAATTGCTGAATTTTTAGTTTCTGTTCTCTACTTAAGTTAGCCTCAATTTGGGTAGCGTCACTTTTACCGTTCTTCAGTTATGTCCCTTTATAATTTTTCTATCTATCTATCTTCATATTTCCGCACTCAGTCACAACTTTGACTATTACGTGCCCAGAAAAAAGTTAAAATAGCCTTGCAAGACGTCATAATTATTTGGACTAATCTTTTGGCAAATATGGTCGTACCACAGGAGTTTGTTACAATTTGCCGGGTTTTCTATCCTTACGAACCCTGAAAAACTTACCAGGCCAGGTGATAAAAAATCGGTCTCCCCTTTTTATCCCACCAGAAAATCAAAAGGTTGTCTCCTTACACCTACATGACAAAAACATATACAAATATGGTATCATTGCCAATGTGATGGCTCTTCAACAGAAACTAAAAACGTAGAAGTTAACAACTATATAGGTCACCGTACAGATTTCAACAATGGGCTAAAAAGCCAAACTGGGTAATAAGCTACAAAAGGCTAAAATAGATAGACAATATCTGACAAGGGTAGAAATGTTCAGAATGTTGAAAAAAAAATCTACTGTCCATTTGCATCAAAACTGGCAGCTGACTCATAGGAGTTGTTGCCTTAAATAAAGATTTTAACCGTTTTTTTTTCTTCATATTTCTTGAATTTGCCTTTTTATCTCGAAAACTGTAATAATTAAAGAGAAACTTAAATCTTATTAAAAAGTTATTGCTTTTCAATGATGATTTTGATCCAGTTTTTGCAAAAACTTGGAAACTTTAAATCTTGGGTAAACTCCTTATATTATACTGCCTGGTCTCGTGGTAGTGTGTTCACCTCACGTGCAGAAGGTTGTTTATTTTGAACCCAACCGGGTAAAACCAAAGACTTTAAAGTTGGTATTTGCTGCTTCTCCCCTAAGCACGCAGTATTATTAAGGAGTAAGAGCAAATACTGGTTTGTTCAGAGTCAGAATAATGTGTCAAGGTAAGGTGACATGTCTCTCTGAGAACTAGTGTAAGAGATAAATTGTCTGGTCAGACAAATATAACTAGTATAAAAAGTCAATGGATACAGAATTTACTAGTATATTTAGTCCGATGTCAGTAATTTATGTCCCCAGACTAATTTTCCTAGTCCATGACATCACTATTCCTAGGTAAAAATGTCCAGTTTTTCTAATACTGTATGCAACATGTCAAGTATATTTGGTGTATGAAAATTTTTAAGGATGTACATGTTAGTCTGGCATGTTTTATTCGACCTTGACCTCATTTTTATGGTTCATTGCTCAATGTTATTTTTTTGTTTTTTGGTCAGTTTTTCTATTTTCTTATTTTCAAATTAGCAATAGGTCAACTATATTTGGTGTATGGAATGATTGTAAGGTGCATATGTCTGACTGAGAAGTTTCATCTTATCTTGACTTTACTTTCATAGTACATTGAACAATGTTTAGTTTTTGTGGTTTTTTCGGATACTGTAAGCAATAACATGAATAATGCCCCTATATTTGGTGAATGGAATGATTGTGAGATGCACATGTCTGTCTGGCATGTTTTATATGACCTTGACCTCATTTTCATGGTTCATTGGTCAATGAAAAGTTTGCATTGTTTTGTCAGTTTATCATATGCTTTTAGCAACAGGTAAATTATATTTGGCGGATGTAACGATTGTAAGGTGTGCATGTCTGTCTGGCAGATTCATATAACCATGATCACATTTTATGGTTTTTTGGTCAATGCTAAGTTTTCTTGGTTTTTTATACGACCGCAATAAATTTTTGCGGTCATATATTGGTATGACGTTGGCGTTGTCGTCGTCCGCAGACACATTGGTTTTCACACTCTAACTTTAGTTTAAGTGAATGGATCTCTATGAAATTTTACCATAAGGATTGATTTTGGGGGTTATGGTACCAACAGTTAAGGAATTAGGGGCCAAAAAGGGGCCAAAAATAAGCATTTTTGTAACTTCCAGACATAACTTGTGTGTTAGTGTATGGATCTCTCTGACATTGTACCACAAGGTTCCATATCACCCAGGGAATGCTGGGATTGATTTTTGGGGTAATTGCCTCAAAATATTAGGAATTAGGGGCCAAAAAAGGGCAAAAAACAATCATTTTTCTAGTTTCATGACAATAACTTGTGTGTAAGTGTATGGATCTTTCTGAAATTGTGCTACAAGGTTCCATATCACAAAGGGAAAGCTGGAATTGAGTTTGGGGGTAATTTCCCAAAACGTTTAGGAATAAGGAGCCAAAAAGGAACCAAAAATAAGCATTTTTCTAGTTTCCAGACAATAACTTGTGTTCAAGTGTAAGGATCTCTCTGAAATTGTACTGCAAGGTACCATACCACAAAGGGAAGGCTGGGATTGATTTTGGGGGCAATTGCTTTAACATTTTAGGAATTAGGGGCCAAAAAAGGGGCAAAAAACAAGAATTTTTCTAGTTTCAGGACAATAACTTGTGTGTAAGTGTATGGATCTTTATGAAATTGTACTACAAGGTTCCATATCACAAAGGGAAAGCTGGGTTTGAGTTTGGGGGTAATTGCCTTAAACGTTTAGGAATTTGGGGCCAAAAAGGGGCCAAAAAAACAAGCATTTTTCTAGATTCCAGACAATAACTTGTGTATAAGTGTATGGATCTCTCTGAAATTGTACTGCAAGGTACCATACCACAAAGGGAAGGCTGGGATTGAGTTTGGGGTGATGAATCATAAGGGGGTTCAAAAAATTTGGGGGGAGGATTTTTTTTCCCCTTTTTTTCCTTTTTTTTCTTTAAAATTTTCCATTTTAAATTGGTTATTTCTGATTTATATATAAAAGCAAATAATGATGATATGGTTTGAATAGGTAAATTAAATTTTTTTAAGTTCTTAGACCACATTCATTCTGTGTCAGAAACCTATGCTGTGTCATATATTTAATCACAATCCAAATTCAGTGCTGTATCAAGCTTGAATGTTGTGTCCATACTTGCCCCAACTGTTCAGGGTTCGACCTCTGCGGTCGTATCAAGCTGCGCCCAACGGAGCATTTTATTCATTTTATCAGATATTATTAGCATATGTCTACTTGTTGGTGTATGGAATGACTGCAAGGTGTCATATAAAAATGAGAAGATGTCTGTCTGCCAAGTTAAATATTACTGTGACCTCATTTTCATAGAATATTGATAATATCAAGCAAAAATGATGAGCAAGACAAGATACAAATGATCCAAAATTGTCAGTTGCCTACTCATTATGTTATAGTAGTTATTGTCATTAAATGATAATGTTTACTCTTTTATGTGTAGGGCAAGAACATTAAAGATAAAGGGAAACTATAAACAAAAGAAATTATCAACAAAAATAGATTTACAGACGTCAACAAAGCCTAAATGGTAAGTCCACTTCTATAAAAGTTATTGCCCTTGAATAATGATTACTATGAAAATAAGATGTAGTATGATAAATGAGAAAACTATCCACCAGAGTTCAATTAAGTGGATGTAAGCAATGCAATTACTTATTAGAGGCCAATGATGACCTGTAAATAATGACAGGCAAAATATGGCAGGGTTGATATAAGAATAAGAAGCGGTACAATTGCCAATGAGACTTTTCTCCAATAGAGATCAAATGGCATTAAATTTAACAAAATTAGTTCACTGTACAGCCTTCAAAAATGAGCAAACCCTATACTGCATAGTAATCCATAAAAGGCCATGAAATAACAAATGTAAAACAATTCAATAAGGGCATGGCGTCATTTAAAAAGGGCATGGAGTCTATCCATGCTAAACATGCTTGGGGGAAACATAACAAAGGTGAAAGCTAAGTGCCTGATTTTTGCACAAAACAATAAACAAAAAACAAATATGATATATAGCAACAATTGACAACCACTGAATAATAGACCCCTGACTTGGGACAGACACTTACAAAATGTGGCATGGTTTAACATGTTTGCTGGCGCTAAATCCTCCTCTAATTAAGGACAGTGGTGTAAGTGTCAGTTCAATATAAAAACTATAAAATCAGTTGAAAAGGGTTTTTTTCTGCTCTTGGGTCAGGTTATTTTGATACATTCCCGTTTTCATTCTCAATTTTATTAACTCATTAGAATGCAACAAAGCAAAAAAACAGCTACCAAAAACACAGACCGGATGTGGCTGGAAATTTATTCTTTCCCTTTAACAAAAAAGACTCAACATACAGATCTATTAGTACTCACAGTTACTGACAGCTACTTCAAAGCAAATATCAACTAATAAAATAAACATTTAGTGAGCACCCAACCCACCCCTAACCTGGGACAGTGGTTTTAATAACAGCACAACATTTGAACAAACTGTAGACATTTGTTGCAATTGGCTTAACTCAAAAGACTGCAACAAGGCACAAAAAACAACTAATATGAAAACCATAGACACAGAGCACTGAAATAAGAGTTCTTACAATTTTAAATATTCAAATGAAATTTTTATCAAAATGTACATAAACATGATAAATTAGCCATTTTATTGCTGTATTTCTCTTCATTTATAATTTTTGAGTTTTGTGTATTTGTAGGTCAGACATCTTGGTTTTCATGATCATCATTCAACAGGTCAATACTGAACAGCAAACTTAAAGTTGATATTTTTCTACATAGTGTGACTTTTTTATTAATTTGAAATGGAATGTGTTTTTTTTTCCTACATAAGAAAGAGGAAATTTCAACATAATGACTATAAACAAAAAGGAGTCATATCATCATGATCATAGATGCTCAAGAACTTAATCATGTAAATGCAACAACGTAATTATCAATTGAAAGAAGGGAGGAATGAAAAAATATATTAGTATTTTGTTGTCCAAATGAACTTGCTTTGTCCACTCATTTAAATCGCTCCATCCAATAAAGATGTACGGAGGAAGATTTTTGAAGAACAGATTGCAAAAATGTTTTGTCTAAGAATTGTAGGAATATTCTAGTGGATGAAATAATTTATTTACTTGACTCTTATATAGTGGACTGAATAATTGTTCATAGCAAGCTGAAACAAGAAAACTAAAACTTAACAGGAAAAGTGTTTATTTTACATGTTTTATAAATTTACAAATATAAATGTAATATTATGAACACCACAAAGGAATAAGATTCAAATCGTTTGCATATTCATGTATTGCAATGGAACTATAACAAAGAAAACTTTACCTCATAAAAAGAGTAAACTATTAACTGTGCTTTGTCAATTTATTCAGTCAGAATATGAAATATTTTTTTCAGTTCTATTTTTCATAATAAAACAAAGAAGACAAAGATTTCAAATCAATATTTTTTTCTTTTATTAAGACGTCATCATTTTATTTCAGTTAAAGGATTTTATTTTTTTACTTTAAATATTATTATATTTCCAAAATAATAATAATCTTTATTGTCATATAAACAAATTAAAAACATGTTTGTGACAAAATGAAAAAAACCAAAATACACTCATATATATATATTATAAACTTTTTACTACCAAACAGAATTCATTGTAACATTCGCATTACTGTTACATTTCTAATTTGAATTCCATAGGATTTTATTTTGTCCCATGGGATATTAAAAATCCCATGGGATATTAAAAATCCCATGGGATAATTATAGTCCCATGGGACAACAAATATCCCATGGGACTACAATTATCCCATGGGACCCAAAAAAATCCTATGGGATTTAACCAAAATCCCATGGGATAATGGTCAATCCCATGGGATTTGCCCTATCCCATGGGATATTGAAAATCCCATGTTTTTCTAAATCAAATTACAAAATATATATAATAAAAACAGCAGAAAAGCAATGAAATTATTGAATCCCATGTAATTCTGCACATTTTGGTTATTTACACGACACTGTAGGTCTAAGGAGAGGCGGCGGCGGATTTGCAAATGAGTGTTTTGCAAATTAAAAGTGTCCAGTGTTATAGAAACAATACACAATGATTTATAACCATGTATACCCATCCCAAAAATACTTCCATATATTTTTTTCCTTTAAAAAAAGAATTGTAACATATGCTCTGAAAAACTACCATTCTACTTATTTAAAAATAAAATGTGGATTGTGGACACATGTGGACACAGATGATGCCCCCGCTTGCATATCATATAGTTATAAAGGGACATAACTGAAGAACGGTAAAAGTGACGCTTCCCAAATTTGAACTTGATCTGAGTTTTGTGGTAATAAGCATTGTGTGTAAGTCTCATAACATTTGGTTGAGGCTAACTTAACTTAAGTTAGAGAACGGAAACGAAAAATACAGCAATTTTTCCATTTGTAAAGGAACATAACATTAGAACGGTAAAAGTGACGCCACCAAAATTCAAACTTGATCTGTTTTTTTGTGGTAATAAGCATAGTGTATAAGTTTCATAACATTTGGTTGAGGCAAACTAAAGTTAGAGAACGGAAACCAATTTTGGGACGTACGGACGGACGGACGGACGGACGGACGGACGGACAGACGGACAAGGGTAAAACTTAATGCCCCCTCCTCCGCTACGGCGGGGGCATAAAAAATGACACTACACTTTATAGATAGAACAATAAAAAGCACTTTATGTAGACTTTATTACAAATCTATATTTACCGGTATAAAAGAAACCTGCAGTCACCAATTCATCTGGTGTTTGAGAAAAGTAAGAAGGACAATTTGCAAATGATGACAATCGAATTGTCCTTACAGCAAATTTAGGGTATTTAGGCTTTTCAAGACAAATACCCATGTTCATTGTCTCCATATTTGAAGCTAATGAACTGACAGAGTTAGAAGATTGCGGTTCTTGAAGTGGCGACTGCAGGAATCTGCTGTTTTCTGGCATTCTAATGAGACCAGTAGTGTTGTTCCGGGAAAAAGTTGCGAACTCCGAGTTTGTTCTCCTTGGCACTGTACTATTTGCTAGGTTTTCCTTTCCCAACCTGCTATCGTTGCCTGCGGAAACACTATTTTCTGGAGAAAATATATTCTGGTTCATGGTAACATTGTTTTCTGAATATGTTTCGCTTGTTTTCATTTCATTTGCTAAAGCTGTTTCAATTTTGTTTTCGTTATCCTTTATAACGACTAGGGTTGACGCTTCCGGTGAACTTCCACATGCGCCAACAGATGCGGAAATATCTGCTGTTTGCATGTCATTGTTTCTTGATATCATATTTAAGTTGTCCACAACGAAAGAACAATTAGGTGAATTGTCTTTATGTATTTGTACTGGGCTATCGTTTGTCTTCCAGTTTTTATAATTTAATCCACAAGAAAAGCAGACGACCTCATTTTCGTTTCCTTCGTAGTAAAATCCAGCTTCGGCAAGTCGTATCACTGAAATACTAGTATATGGATAATTAGCAAAGCTTGATAATCTGCACCATTCAAACTGCATAGATTCCTTTAAAGATGATGGTAATCCTGTATTCCGTTCCTTAATAAAACTGTTATAGTCCTGTGGGTTTAACACATAAGTTTGCAAAATAGTCCTCGGAATTTGATATAGTCTTTTGACAAACTTGTTAATCCATAAACATGCCTTAGGATGTTCGATAAATTCTTTCAGTTTTGCTTTATGTTTTGAAAAGTAATATTCAATGTTAATTTTGGACTTCCGAGTTCGCTTATTTCGTTCTTGATAATCCACAATTTTGATAACCGTCATTATGCAAGCACATACACAGTAAAACACTGCGAAGTTTGTTTTTCTTTTCATTGGTTTTGCAAGGACTGATTTGGAATTATCATGATCTAGAGTTTGAAAAAGTGATTCATTTCTTTCACACGAACTATTTTCGTTTTCCGTTTCAACGACCCTCTCTTCTGTTACTTTCAATTCATCAATCACAAGTTCATTCACATAAATGTTCACTTCATTACTGTCTTCATGATTATATTCTGGTATTGCCATATCTTTCTAGTAAGCTAAAGTAAACAAAATCACAAATGTTGTCGATCTCTTACTAAATCAATTTTGTTAAACTCAAATGGACCCAAAGATTTATTTTTACGTCTGTCCTGGCCATTATCTACGGCGTATGAAGTGTTGTCATCTGTCCAATATCTTATACGAAGTTTAAACTTTTTATACGTAGTTATTGTGTAATTTGTTTCTAAAACTGAAGCTGATGTAATGTTAGATAAGGGTCGACCATTTGACTTTCTGAAAGGAGTAGGATTTTTGGAAATAAATTTGCTGGCCTGATAAGAATTGACTATAAATAAGCCTACCCTAGACTGGATGAAAATGAATATTCTGCCCCCTTAAATGCAGGAAATAATTGTGAACTTGATCGAAAATAAATATTTGCGCAGCAATTTAAGCCGTTTAGCTTACCTCCGAGTTAGAACCCCTTTATTCAAAGGCATTCATATAATAATTTGCCTAGGCTCTGAAACTTAAATAAATATTTTAAAACAAATAGTTCAATCAGGGATTTATTATTCATTGTTATTTGACCATTACACATTATACATTTTAAATGATCATTTCAGCTAGAGTAGACTTTTTCTAATATCTGACCTCGAAGCAAAGAATTCAATTTTATACCCCTCAAAATTTCATAGGTACTTGGGGACAGGACATTTTTTTTAGCCCTCTCCCTTTTTTCCCAAATTCGTTATATTTTTCTTTTTTATTTCAATTTTTTTAGTATATTTATGTTTATATGACACAGAAAAACACGAAAACAATGAAATTAAAAGAAAAAAAAATAACGGATTTTGCACAAAAAAGGGGGGCTAAAAAAATTGTCCTGTCCCCAAGTACCTATGCCAAATTTTAATGTATAATGAATACTTTACTTTGAGTTGTCTATTGTCCGAATCATTTTAGAAACAAATCCTACCGTTTTACAGCATCAATAATGATAATTATCTACTTTCGAAAGTCATACACACCTTTTTTTAATTTACAAATTCTCAATGAATCTAAAACGCATATCAGTCGACTGGCACATATTTGTGAAAGAAACTTTCTCCGTGTTCTATAAAACAAACTAACCATGGATAAGTAGCATTTTTCATAATTATGTTTTTTTAAACATCGGAGTCTTTTTGTTATATATTTCTTTATTTTTATATAACATGTAGTTCTTACATGAAGTCTTCTTCGTTTACATATGAATTGTTCTATCTTTACATATTATGACTATAATTTAATCTAAAAATAGCATATACAATGCGGAACTCTTTTAGAATGTTCAATACGTGATGGAAAATATATATATGGACATTCGTCTTGTTTATAATTATAGTTTATTTTTAGACCTGGGGTCACTAGCCAGTTATGACTCATTGTGATAATCTTTATTAAAAGTTCTGTACATCTGTCTATGGGGTTTTCCACAGTGACTTCGCTTATATTTTGATATAATCAAAAGGATGCTACTATTAATATAATTACTTTTTTCTCTTGACATACGCATATACATATAATGTACAATAATTAAAGTCGTTTTACAAAAAACAATGATATTATTTCTTGAATGGCCAAGTTTTACTATATAATACATGTGTACATGGACTTTCTTTTAAAAGAAAATTCTTTATCGTATCAAAATGTCAGAAATGTAGTACTGTTATTGATTTATTGTCCTCATGCAGGTACTACTCTAATTGGCCGATAGAACAATAATATATATATATATCCCTTTTCGACGGTTTGGTAGCGAGTGGTAGTAGAAATGATACTTCAGAATTGTCAAGTGCAGTTTTTGTGTCAATTTTCTGGGCTTTCAGTATCATTGCGACAGTAACGTTTGTCAGGGCTTTGAACACATATTTACTATCTCTTCAAAGTTTATAGCAAGTGGTTTGCTACAGAAATTTCCTGGTTTTTTGGTTTGTTTTTAGCAATAAAGGGCATGTAGCTTTAATTAAAGAATTATTGGTCATATTATATAGCCACCACCCCTTATTGATATGATTCCGGTAAACTTGGTTTTAATTGGGTAAATGGTTTCCAAAGACCTGTTTTAGAAAACACAAGTATTAAATAATGTGTAAATCTTTTCTATTTCTGTTACAACAGCGGCCTTATTAAACATGTTAAAGTCATATGCAACTCCATCTTTTTTTTAAATACCTGAAGGGAAAAGTTTTACTATAAAACAAATGTACGTGAACATTCTTGTAAAGGAATATCCTTTATATTATCAAAATCTTCATAAATGTACTGCTATAGAAATATTGTCTTCTCGTACTCTAATTCACTGATATTTTCCCGTATGCAGTGACCTTAACTACGAGACCTCTCGTTAGAACTTCGGCCACCGCACCGCGCAAGTGCGAGGGGAAATCCGTGATGAAAGAATGTAAACAAACGTACACTGGAATGTAAATAAAATAAATGATTCTTAAAGAACAAATTAAATACACCAAAGCATTTAACAACTGTTAAGGAAATGTTTACTTAAAAAATGGGAACGCATGGAAAATAATAAAAAAAAATATTATGTCTCTATCAGTTCACTTATTTTTCACGTGCTTCACATGCTCTGTGTTGATTGTTTATCAATGTCACGATCGGGTAAACTTCGACAACAAACTCGAAAGTTAATTAGCTGATTGAAATATTATTTGTCGTATAATTTCATATGAATTTAAAGTCGGGTATCAACATCAATCTTAAATTGAATCATAATAATTATATTCAACTTAAATGAGGTAGTATTTGGCCACAGTCGTTTTCAGGATTTTTTTAAAGACAGTTCGTCCAAATTTTCTATTTTTAGTAACAGTGACGGTCAAATGTGAAGGTTTGTTGAATCCTCAGGCATATATATAATACACATAGGGGACATAAATTTATCAATTTATTTAATATTTGAAATTTTTTGGTCCGTTACTGAATTTTTTTTATATTGTAATTACCTACTCTCAACCTTGATTTTTATTTAATGATACTTGCTTTTAAAACTTTCCTTTATTTGGAAAGTGCAAGCCAAGTTTGATCATTAGCCAAGAGGTTTCAAAAAAGTTTACGACAGATTGCGAACATTTAATGATGGTAGTTATAGCTCTAACTGGTTGTGTTAATTAAACAGATGACATAGAATCGTATGGTAAATTAAGTTAGTATAAGCTACATATCAAGCTTTATTCACTACGAATAAGTTTAATGTATCTGTTCAATTTAGAAACAATATGCCGTTCAATCAAGTTTGCCGGTAACTGTATCATGTTTTGCTATCTCCCACTGAAAGGAATTATATTTGCTGTTGAATATTAACCCAACTACCTGTGTATATATATATATATAGGCCATGTAGGTCTCTTTCAACAGAAAATTAAAAATTAGTCAATAATATGTAAAATATGTGTTGTCGTTTAGATAGAACCATATGAAAATTAGTATTTTTGGCGAAAAAAAATTCCCTGGATATTTCCTATGAAATATGTTGGCAGCAATTATTGTTGAGCAGTGTGGCACCGTTAAAGTCCATAATTCCTCTAAAGTCCACAACACCGCTAAAGTCCACAACAAATTTCCGCTAAAGTCCACAACGCCGCTAAAGTCCACAAAATGACCTCCGCTAAAGTCCACAAGAAAACGCCGTTAAAGTCCACAATAACAAGTTCCGCTAAAGTCCACAAAAAAGCACCGTTAAAGTCCACACATTTTTTTTTTATTATTAAAAACATCAATTCGTTTTTTTTTATCCCGTTAGTACAATACAAAACATGGGCCTTTCTTCTCGGTAGTTATTTGTTTATCAGTTTGATAAATGAGAAAAGTACAGTATCTGTAGATGATTTTGTTCCATTAATTTTGATCTTTGTATTATGATCAGATGATGATGGCCAATTTGGACATCATTTCTAAAAAGTTCGTAAATTCGTTAGTTATTAACTTATTACATTATTACTGCATTCTTCAAGTACTGTTTTTTTTTTCTTATTCTTTGCATATAATCACTTTACGTATTAACTAATGTACAAAGCAAACGTGCCTCCTAATCTATAACATTTGAACGGCATTCATTCGGACAACAATCTTGATTATGATTATAAACAAAAAAAAATACTAAGTATATGAATCCTGTCTCCTGTCACAAAACTTTTAACCAACGTTTAACGTTACTAATTTCGGTGTTGGTTATAGAAAACAACGAAATATAATGTGTTATGATTTTCAGAACGGAAAAATGAAGCCAGTATGATAAATTCTAAATAAAAAAGAAAATATTCTATGCTTTAAATTATATTTTTATCGATTAGTATAGGATATCGATGCGTTGAATTGGTGTCTACCAAAAAAACCTGATTTGAGTACATTTCAGTGAGACAGCAACTCAACAATAAATGTAATAGATATTTACAACACTCTTCCGGAAACCAAAGTGAAAATTTGAATATTACTTGCATCATACTTGTATAACATTAATATCAGTTAATAGAATATTGATTAGTTTTTGACCTAAAATGAATTTACACAAACTTTCGCACAAAAGTGTATGTGTTGTACTGTTTCATCACTGTTCCAGGTTAGGGAAGGGTTTGGCGCCAGCAAAGTGTTTAACTTCGCCACATTCTGTATGTGCCTGTCCAAAGTTAGGTACCAGTAACTCGTTGGCTGTCGTTTGTTGCTGTATATCATATAATTTTCCCGTTTATTGTTATGGAAATACATGTATATCAGGCCGTTAATTTTCTCGTTTGAATTGTTTAACCTTTTTTTCTTTTATTTCGGGCCTTTTAAAGCTTACCGTGAGGTATCGATTGTGCTCTTTATTGAGGGCCATACGGTGATCTACAATAGTTGTTAAATTCTCTGGTAGAGAATAATCTCATCGGCAATCTTATCACATATTTTTCTATCAGTTAAATAATTTCCGAGGCCTGGTTTGCCGATCGATCTAAGAAGTATTATATCTACAGTAATCACTAGGATGTCAACACCGAGGTTGTAAATTCGATGAACCCCGCTCGAAGCAAGGGCGTTCGACTCCAATCCTTATTAACTACTTCTGTATTGTTCTGCACTCCTTTATCTAAAACAACATATTGTTGTCTTATTCCTTACACTCACATCATTTGAACTTTGATGAAGAGTTGTCCCATTGGCAATCATACCAAATCTCCTTATATTTTATAATGACTG